GGATGCGATTCTGGAGCATTAAAGATACTGCTGAGGAACATCTAACCTTAATGTGTACAAGCATCAAAAATAAAGCAGTGGGTGCTTTTTTTTCACGGTGTGAACATAGCATTACACTTTCTGATTGCTTTAATTAACCTATGAAACAAAATTGTATTTAAAAATGATCTCATGTCTTCCTTATGAAATTTCCACCTCTAGTCAAGCACATGTAATTCCCAAAAAAAGCAGTGTTGTAACAAAGACAAAGAGTTAGCTGTGGTCAAAACGCAGGAAAATGCATTTTAGAGAGTCTAAATTTCGAAATTTTCTGTTAGAGGATACCCCTGGACCCCCTATGCCGTGCAAAGCCTAAAGATGTGATACACCAAGGTGTACACCCTATGAAACATTCCAAGCTAAAAGCCTGGGCATACATAAACGATTAAGTTTTAAAACAAAGTAATGACCGAGCGTTAATCATCAATTATTTGAACAGCGTAATTCATAATGACAGGTTGTTCTGTTCCTCTCAAACTGCTCCTTGAACAAACCCTCATCTCCTCTTGTTCATCCTAGCGACACACCCTCATAGAAATTTATTATCGCAGCAGTTAGGAGCAGAGCTTATAGCTGTTGCAAAACAGCTGCACTCTCCCCCAGCCAAAGTGGAACACAGTGTGATAAAACTTTATTTTAGAAATCATGATACAGAAATAAACTTTCTGAAGCAGATTTTTGTTTTGTGAAATAGATAACTTGATTGAGGCTTTCATTCTCTTTAAAATGCCATTTTTGGAGTCAGAGTGATAAGTTAATGTACCTGGATATGATCAAAGTGTTCTTTTAATGGATCCAGCTTTGTAAATGCTGGCTCTGATTTATTATTTGTTGATTTGGCCAAATGAACTGTACTCGTTAAAATCTTTCCGTCCAATTGGGAAATGTCCATTTTTTTTAAGTTCTCTCTGTGTTTGGTGAACGCATCACTGAATCTTGAGTGATAAACCGCTTGTTTAATCTTGTTGAATCAATATAAACTTTACTGAAAGAAAAAAAAATCTGAATTAATTAAACCATGAAAAATCTTTTTTTTTTTATTTAAGAATTTTATTTTTATTTTAACCATTTCCAACAACTATAACTTTATGTTATATGTCAAGCTCCTTTTTGGTGAATAAAAAGCAAAATAATTTTGCCATTTTAATGTTAAGTTTAATTCAGGTCAAATGATTCATTGAAGTGTTTTTAAAACAAACAGTTGCCAGGATTGTATATAGTTCTGGTCAGATTCTAAGTAATAATGTCAACAAATGCTGTCCTCATGTTTTAAGGAGAGAACAGCATCTGATGTTAAAGTCACCCAGAAAAACTGATATGAGTTTCTTTGTCGCTGCAGGGTATAAAAGTAGGTCTGACTCCCACATGCCTCTGCATTGATTTGAAGCAAGCCTAGAAACAAACTGTAGTTTCTACAGTTAACACGTAATCTACATTATCTACGTTATCTAAAAATCTAACCGTCCCCATTCTCTGTTCAGACTGCCCCACAAAACCTTCCTTTCTTTACTAGATATGATGCCACCACCACCATGCTTTACACTTTAACCTACAGTGTGTGGGTGGCCATTAAGGTTTTCTCCAAAAGCAGTTGTACCTTAAGTTGAGCTTGAAAATGCGGATTTGGTTTTGATGATGTCTGGTAAATGTGACGGTAAATCTGCTTCCAGGGTTTTTCTGCGTCTTCCAGTTTGTGATGGGTTTGATCGCTGCGGGTTTATTGGTTGCTCTTGAAATTCCTGAATGGTTTCTGTTCATCTGCAGAAGATCAGAGCTCTTTGCAGAGCTACCTTTTTATCAAAACAGAACGGTGCAGCATCTGCATTATAACAGTTATAACAGTAGCCTTACTGATCCTTCTATCAATCTCCCACCCTCCCATCAACTATGAACAGGACTTTAATGTGCAATAAGTAATAACTAATATGTGGCATGCAGGGATAACTTCTTACTTGTTTGGTTTACCTTGTCACCTTCATTATAATGAAATGTTTTCTGGGTTAATCCTCTGATGATGAGAACATCTAACTCCACTATATAAATATTCAGTGTTAAAAATGATTTACCAGGTAAGACATGCTGAAATATGCTAAGCTGATTTCGATATTTGTTTTTGGTGTAATTGTGTGTATGTTTTTACAGTGGTAAATAAAGAAATCTAAGAATATCAATCTAATAATGATGGGTGAAGCAGGACCAACTCCACATTTCTTAATTTCTTTCACAGTTTTGCACTTTTTTTTTATGCATTATTTATGTCACTTACCCCCTTGAACCCGACGGACCCACCGGTGGGTCCAGCTGCTACGTGACCTCGTAATTTTAACAAACCCCCAGTATTGATGTAAAAAACACATTTGGCACAGTTTGGTGACATTTTTGGATAAATGTGCCAAAATGGCCTCTCTGCCTAAGAAATGTCTCACTAATACCATTCTAAAATAAATATGATTCATCTGATTGAGTCCAAATTTGGTATTTTTTTACACAACATTTAGATTTAAAAGTCTGTACTACTTTTTTGTGCTATAAATAATATTTTGGTAGTGTTTTGCAATGTTTATTTCAAAGAAAATTTTGGCGAGGTTCAAAAAATGCAAAATATTTTGTATTTTGTCCCTAATATTTCAGGCAGGGTCAAAGCTACAATGGTGCTGACACCAGAAAACCATTCTATGACATCTTACCTTTACAGAGGTACCAAAAGTTTCTTCTTAAATCTAATAGCTGTGAGGCTATAAGTGATTTACTTTTGTGTGTTTTTGTCAGGCAGAAATTTATTTATACCCCCTGAGGGTGTAAGAGGTTACTTTATTTTGTTTACATGTCCTATCTGGGCAGATTAGGCTGCATCCTCATAATCCTTGTTTGTGCTTGTTAGTATTAGTGTGAATTGAGTGTCAGATGTGAGCTGTATTTAGGAAACAACATGCCCAGAGGCCAGCAGTACTGCTTCAAGTAGAGGGTGAGTGAGGGATGCTATGAATAGCAGCGAAAGGCTGCCATGACAAAAGATAAAGGGCAGCAGGAAAATTTTTTGTAGTGACAGCATGAAAACTATGTGGGCTTGCAGCCGGTGGCGGATAGAACAGCTGAGAAGCGTACGATCAAAACTTCATTAGGGCCATTAGTTAAAAAAAAGTGTTTCTTTAATGGACACCTGGCTTACCTTCCTGTCAGTCCCTAAGGACATCATGGCCGACGGATAGTCTGCTGGGATCAGGTCTGTCTCATCACACAGAGAATTCTGTTGTAAAATATCTATGATATTACTATAGTAAACAAGCTTGTTTTCATATATATATTTTCCTGTATTCCACATGGTTTTAAGCATGTGCATCATGGCTATATCAGCAACAACAGGTACGCAGATATGGAGGGGTATGAGTGGCACAATACAATGAATAAATACCTTATAAAATAATTGTTTACATTTGTAGTTCATTTATTAAAACTGTAAATAAGTACAGATTTTATTTAATAAATATATAATTAAAGATATGGGTCTCAGTGAAATATAATTTTAAGAAGTAAAGATAGTTATTTTGTGATTTGATAAATCATACTATGTTCCTGCACTTAAGCACTCGTCCATCAAAGTTAGGGAGGTGGGACAAGGGGCGCTTCCAAAGAAACCCTGACATCTGATTGGCTGCTTCTCACTGAGCAAGATTAAACTGGTTTTCTTTTACTCTAAAGTCAATGTACTAAAAAAGGCAGATATAACTTCAAAGGGGTGTTGGAATTTATTTACGGTTATTTATTTATTTATTTCTATAGAACTAGGCCTTCTCTCACCTGTTTGACTTTGATAGATGTGTGACAGTATAAATTATTTTTTGTGTGCTTCAATGCAGTAACATGAAATAATTTATTAAATCATAGAATTATTTTATTCACTTCTTAAAATAAAATCTGCATATTTAACTGAGACCTGTGTTATTAATAATATATCTATAAAATTCTCTATTTACTTATAGTATTAATAAAATTTAAAATTTAAATTATTAATTTATGTTATTTATTCTTTGTATTGCAGAACTCACCATCCTCCATACACAGACAGATGAGAATGTAAAAAATGTTTATTTTTGTTAACCAGAAATGACCAAAGTGATGCTTGTAGACTTGGAAATGGAGCTCTTTATTTTTAACATGACAGACTGACATTGGTTGTGATTTGAGGATTTGATGGATTTATTTAGTAATGTGCCACGTCCTTTCAGCTAATCGAATCAGTTATGATATAGCATCACATGCAGATTTTCCATTTTACTACATATATATATATTTTTTTTTTTTGGTAAATAATTGGTTTTGAATGTGTGTTATTTGGACATGAACGCTAGATTTCCATCAGTTTTATTTGTACTTCCAATTTTAAACCAAATTGTTGAAAGACTATATATTTCTTCTCAATTTTAATTCCCTTTTCTCGTAAAACTCAAACGTCCCTTATTCAAAACAGTGTTTTGTTTTTTTTTACCATTTTTGAACTTCCTTCCAGATAAGACCGTCCGCTTGTCACAGAAATACCTACCATGGCAAAAGTTTTACCTTAAAGAGCTGTGATATATATAAGGTCACAGAGCATATTGGACAGTCTATGGAAAATATGTTTAGGAGTAAGTGTTAATCAGACATTAAAGTAGGTCAGATCAAACATAAAACCATTAGTGACGGTCTTTGCAAAGAAACCTCTCACTTTGATCCTTTCTAAACTGTTGTATGAATCACCATTAAATCCCACCCAGTATAGGTCACAGTGCACAAGAGGAGGGCTTATGACGCCATTTGCAGAAACAATCAGGTCTCTTATTGAGTCACAACATTAAAAATAAGAGATTCATTTTCCAGAACTTCAACTGCGCTCTCTTCTTTTACACATATCTGCTTTCATAATGTGCTGTGCATCATGCGTCCAGTTTCTAATTATAATCACAAATTGAATTTACTTTTAGACTGAAAAGAAGATGACCAGTGAGACCCCGTCCACAATCTCCATGGCTCTGATGAACCCCCAAATGGCCTCCACCTCTGCAGACAACAAAAACTCCTCCACGCAGCAGCTCTCCATCAGCGTGTGAGTCATTTCTAAAACATTCAATTACTAAGCTTATCATGTGTGAAGGAATGAATAGTATTAAGGAGATGATTAGGAACAAGATTATCAATGTTAAAAGTGAGTTAACTGCTTAAAACTCTGGGGTCTGCCACCAGTTGCGCCGTCCTGTACTCCTACAAACCTCGCCGGCCGGAGGAACTGGAACTGAGGAAAGGAGAGATGGTGGGTGTGTACGGAAAGTTCAAAGAGGGCTGGCTGCGTGGGTTGTCTCTCAGAACGGGGAAAGTGGGCATTCTTCCCAGCAACTTCATCACCCCTGTGCTCAGGTGAGAGATCGCATTAATATTCATACAAGAAGCCTTACGTCTTCTTTATATATTTCAGAAATGTAAAAAAAAGTAAACAGTTTATTGAATAATTTAACTCTCAAGTATATAAAAAAACACAAGAAATCAATTTTAAAAGCTTCAACTGCTTCTGTTTTTTAATGCTGCAACCAAACACTTGATTTGGGATTTTATGTAATGTTCTAACAGGGAGTAATGCTGAGTTGTACAATGAGGGAAAAAGTAATCATGTTTTTCTAAATATTTTACCAATGTCGAAAAGTTAGTGTGCATTTCTTCTCCTGAGTCGAAGCTTTAAAGACAGCTGTAAGTCTGTCAGGGTGTGTGTCATTGGTAATTCGGATCGGACAGAGAGACTCTCTGCAAAGCGCTTTTCAACTTCCAACCATCTAGATTAAAAAAATTCAAAGCTTTGACATTTTGTTTAGAGTCATTGTCTTGTCTTCTAGCCGCTCTCTTTGGTTTCGTCCGTCAACCCACCCAAGTAAAGAATACCCCACAGCATAATGCTGCCACTACCATGTTTTGCCTTGGTGGTGTGTTTTTTATAGCATTTTATGCTGTGTTTTTTTTTACAGAACACAGAGATTCTCTTTTCATGAAAATCACATTGTGGTCTTTCTGTGCAACTTGTTTGCAACATCCCCTACATGCCTTGTAGCGAAATATAAACACACATTTTGTCAGGGTTTGGAGGACCCAAAATGCAGAGGCAGAGAGGCTGAGGTGAATTCTTGTAGTTTTAAGAAAAAAAAACACTAATAACAGAGGCAAAATCCAAAAATCCAACTAAAATGTAACTCAGACCAGAACCACAGAGACATCAAGGGAAACACGCACAAGGAACCCAGGAGAGACGAGGTGAGAGGACAACGGCAACAACAGGACCAGCAACAACAAGGAGTGAGAGCAGAGGGAGAGCATAAATAGCTGACAGAGACAAAGGGAGGGCTAACGAGCTGACAAGGAGCAGGTGTGAGAGGAGATAACGAGGGAACCAAGGGGAAAGGAACACACACAAGAGGGCAACAGAGGACAACAGAAAAACATGAGAACTAACATAAATCTAGAAATTACAACAAAACAGGAATTAAACCATTAAAACTAGAAAACAAGGAGCAAAGTAAAGCACAACACAACCAAAACCATGACACATTTGGCTTTTTTTTTTACCAGCTGCTTTCTAGTCTAAGACTGATAGCTGACCTGTCAAAAGATTCTTCTACAAGACAAAGCAAAAGCTGATGCTTTTCCTTTCATTAGATTAGACTATTGCACAATGTGTTTCCTGTTTTCAGGCAGCTTATGACTATCTAACATACCAACAGAAATAGAGATCATACCCCCCCCCAGGTCTTCAGAGACATGCTCACTCAGTATTCTTAGAAGCAGAACCGATCAAGAGGAGGAATGATTCAGTTTCTCACACTCCCTGAAAACCTGACATGCAGAAACTGTTGGTTCCTGTTGACTAATGAGCTTTGTGATATTTAATGCTAGATTTGGAGGGAAAATAAATTTAGAATTGCGTTTCTAAAATCTAGAGTCATAACTTTTTTTTTTCCAGCATATGATCTAGCAGTCTCTCTTTCTAATCAAGTCTACTTAACGTATTTGTTATATTCTTTCTTTTCTTTCATTTTGTGTCCTGTAAAGGTGCTTAGGATTACGTTGTGTTTGAATTGTGGGCTTTGCATAAACCTGCTTTACTTGTAGATATCTGAAGCTCCTCAGGAGTTATCCAGAGCCTCTCAGTTGAAGCTCCGCCTGTTGTTCGGGTGTGTTCCTTGACCTCCATGATGTTATTTGTGCTCTAATGTCCCCCAAAACAACTGAGGCCTTCATGGAATAAACAGATTTATACTGATATTTAACATTTATGTGAAAAAATAAATGTTTTAAAGTTTTATGTACTTGTGCTGAAATACAGAACCTCAGCCCGACTTCTGGAGACCAAAGTAGCTAATGTGTCCTCGCATCCCAGCGCGGCATCTGGGAAGAAACCCACCCCTTCAAAAAATCCCGCTGTGGTCCTCGCTCTGGACAGGGTGGGCGGTGATGGAGCCAAATCCTCAACAGGACAGGTCTCATCTGTGCCAAATGGAGCACAGCATGCTGCATCCTCCACCGGAGCTGTTAAACCGTCCTTCTATGGGACGTCTCAAGGTTGGGACACTGTGAGGCGTGTTTTCAACCCGCACAGAGGTCAGTGAGAAATACATTTCAATGCGACAGCGGTTTAATTAGGAGGTTTGGTCAAAATTGACTTCTATTCTTTAATTTCAGCCTCCCACCGAGCCTCGCATACGTCCTCCTACAACATCCCGTCCAACTCGCAACCTTTTGCACAAGTTCAGGCATCAGGGTATTCACCTGCCCTGCAGAGAAAGAGAAACAGCAGCCTCCCATCCAATGTCAAACCACAGATGAATGAGCTGGCAGCACCCTCTGCTGCTGCGACCGTGAAGGACAGGGAATATGCTGCATTACATGAAGCAGTATTTCAACATCACAGGCAATCAGCTGCCAATGGACCTCAGTCGATTCTGGTCAAACCTGATGCACAGAAAAACAGCACAGATAAGGTAATTTCTGATTTATTTTTGCTTTTTTTATTATTTTTTTCCAAGTTTTTGGTCTCTTTATGTGATAAAATGTACGTTTGCATTTCAAAAGCCTCAGAAATCAGTTCGGTTCCTGACAGATGAAGAGTCCCCTCCTCCAAGACAACGGACCTCCCTCTGGTCATCGGGGACACAGGTTCACCCAAACTCCCGCCCTGGTCCCCTCCCTTTAGAAGTCTGGGCCCCGTCACTCACCATGGGCAGAGACGGACCAGGGATCCTTCTGAAAGACAGAAAGGGTCCACTTTTTAGGAAGGGCTTTGACACGGCTGCCTCTGATCAAAATTCTAACCAACAGAAACCGTTCCACTCACAGCCTTCACTGTCTGCTCATTTCAGCCCCATCAGGTAAGACTTTTGGGTTTTGGGATCTTTGCTCACGCACAAAACAACAAACCTGTAAAAATTATTGAACTAACTTTCTGGTGTTTTTTTGTTTTGTTTTTTTTTTTCCCAGACACAGAGTGACTGCAACACATTTAGCCCAGACAGACTCAGAGCTTAGTCTGCTTCAAGGAGAGGTTGTCTTTGTCCACAGACCTCGGCCTGATGGACGGGTCCTCCTTACGCAGAAGAGCAGCGGGCAGACGGGCATTTTCCACAACACTATCCTGCAAGTCCTTGAGAGGCTCAGCTGACTTTATATTTAGGCTGAATTAATGTATATTTCTATTATATCTATTTAAATTGCCAAATGAATTAATGGACCAACCGAACAAAAAGAGCAATGATGTCCAACAAACAAATCCTGCCAAATGACAATGCAGTAACAGGTTTTTATATTGGCTCTGAATGGGTGAGAGTGTGTGGGTAAGGTCTGCAGAGGTTTATTTTCTGTCCTGCATTGTGTGCACATTTTTGTGGCGAGTTATATTCTATTTTTTTTTGCACTAAAACCTACTTCAGGTTCCTTCCTTTATCTGTTACACACAGTGGTGAGTGCCTTTTTCAAAACCCACCGAGAAAAAAAATCTATATATATTTTATTTGTATATATATTTAGAGAGATTAAGTAAATTATCTGTACTGCTTCTGTGTTAATAAAGTGTACTTCCAGAACAGCTAACGGGTTGGTCTATTTCTAGTTAATCTATTTTTTTTTTATCCATTAAATTGTGCAAGTTTGCATGTGCAACCTGCCTTCTAGACATGCAGGCTGCAGAGAGTAAACCCTTTTTTTTTTACTCATGTCATTTTTCGGTTTCTGAAAAGTTCTGCGATTAAATCTTGAAGTAACCACCAGATGCTTTAATAATTTATTTTAACATTCTGCAAAGATGTTTCAAAGTTTCATTTTGGTGCAGGGTTTCAAACACACCACACTGCACCCCTCACTGCTGTTTAGGTTATTGCATAACATACATTTTAACTATGATGCATTAAAAAAAAATGTTATGTCCCTACTTTTTATTGGATTTAAATGCTCCATTTTGACTGGTTAGGGGTTAATGCAGTAAAGGCAAAAGTTGCTTTAGGTCTCAAACACTGCAAGATAAAAAATTAACTTATTACCATTTGTGGTGCATGGTGAAAACATAGTGAGGGCCTAATTGCCAAAAAAGGTTATGTATGCAATGATTGCATCTCTGATAATTCAGTTTAAAATGACAGCTCTAATGATTGCTTTGCCTCCACTTTAATAAATCTATCATAATTAAAGGTACTGAGCCCTGTCTTTTGGTGTGGGATAAAGCTTCAGCAAGAGAACATGAATTAATTATAAACCTTTTGCAACTTATACCTGGGCAGCAAGCTAATTTGTCCGTATTTTATGGGTTTGAAGAAGTGTGTAAGACGCTAATACATTTTTCTGCACCGTAATAGTGCAGTCATTATTTTTTGTTATTACTATAAATCCAATTATTGAATATGAAATTATATTCCGTGAAGGCATTCTGCAGGGCTGCCAACTTTTCACCAAACCTTGGGGTCAGATTTTGAAATAGTTTGGACAGGAAACCCTGTCAAGATTAGATGAGGATAGGTGCAGTTATAGGTTGGAGGTTTTCCGAGGATTTAACTGAAACAAAGCGGCAAAATGTGGAATTTTTATAGCACAGAAAAGGTTACTGAGTAACAATAAGTGGTCTGTAGTTATGTCTAACAATTTTCTTACAATATACAATATTTTCTACATTCTGGTGTTTTTCAGAGAATTGAAGTAAAGAATAGGCCCTACTAAAATACTTGCATCTTAAATATACTTTAAGCTAAGAATTTCACAACTTTGTTCATTAATTATTCTCTGCATTATACAATGGGGAACTAATAAGCTATTACTGGATTAGTGACACTGAAACAGGAACCAGAGCAATTGAAACCTATGCAAACTACACTGTGTGTGAATATTTGGTAATAGGCTAAGGATTAAAAAGCTTCATTCATTATGTTATTAGTTACAATCAATTGAGAAAACGGTGTTAAATGTGGAAGTTATGTGCCCTTGAAGGCAGTTGCGCCTTGGGACTTCCCCACCGGTTCTTTTCCTGGGAGCAAGTTACTTACTACTCTTTACTCAAACTGGGTAAAACCATATAAAAAAGGACTTTAAAAACAGGAGTAAAAAAGTTTATTCCAGATCAGGTCGTTACAGGACAGAGAAAATGCTTGGAGCTTGCACAGCTGTGGGCTCAAAAAACGTCAGCGAGCCCCAAACAAGGACATCTTCTCCTTCTTATACCTCATGAGTCTATGTGTTGGATCAGGTGGATGCTTTGCTGTCCGTATCAGAAACTGACACGCCATCCATGCCCAAGGATTACAGATAGCTCTCCTCTATCAGTCAGGCTCCAAGATGTGCCCATATCCTGTGTATCTTTAAAAGACAAGACGGCTGTCCTATTTAGATGACCTCCTTACACACAGTGACATCCACAATGTGAAGGAAGGCCTTCTATTCTCTCTAATCTGGCTAACAAATTAACAATGCACATGATGTATAAAGAATAAACCTAACAACGGCTAAACAATTCAGACCTTCTAGGAGGCTGTAGATTTCATGAAAACTCACCATGACAGGAGACAACACTTCTCTGGATGTTTCAGTTGAAAGGTGTGATGGAAATTAATTTTTTTAACATATTTAATGGACCAAAATAAAGAAAAATAAGTACGATAGGTAATAATGTAAGAAGAGCATCCCTGTGGTTTCTCCTCTATGAATCCTGGATAAATGAGTTGTTCTGCACATCCTCTCCGAATGTGGTTGGTCTTTTCTTGGGTGGCTGATCTTTTGAAAAATAAAATGCAATGCTTCTTGTTCTTTTCGTGGAGATCCTATGGGTTTGAGAGGCAAACCTGGAAGCTTTAAGAATTAAAATATTTGTGTTTGGTTTAATTACTCCTAAATGTCAACGGGAGATTATTAAACTGGACTGAGCAATAATTATTTAATTTGTGGACTAAAACTGAGACTAAAAAAAGCACCAGGTAAAAAGAAGATGTGATCCCAAACTCAGTCTCCACATCAATAATTTAAGCAAGCTGCTATAGTTTTTATTCATATTTACTCAAGTACTATACAATAAATAAATAAGTGGAACGGAATGTCGTTTTTTAGTGTAAGAATTGGGAATATAGAGTGAGAGTATGTGAGGACACTGAGATGAGTGAGTCTCACTCCTAATGGGTGAGAGTTGACAGCCTTGCATTTAGTTACAGTGGTTTTATGTTTTGATATATGAAAGCCAACCTGCGCATGCGCACACCGAGTCAGAAGACAGCCAACGGCTCTGGGCTGCTGATGAGAATGACAACATCGCTAATGCACTAGTGCAGTGAATAGTAACCGAACTGAAACAAACAGAGCCACCAAAGCGTCTAAACCACAATAAAGCACACACTCTGCCTCCTTACCATGCCGGTAAGTCGCCACGCCTGCTTGCGTTTTTCTTTTTCTTTTTTCTGAGTCGGGTTCCTCCCTCTCTCCTTTGATGTGATTAAGCTAACCCTGGTTAGCACTGCTAGCTCACCATTTAACCTGGCTTTTGCTATATGCTGTGGGGGCCTTAACAGACATGTAATAATTGCAATTCTTTGCGTATTATTTGGTGTATTTTATCCACAAACCCCCACCACTTTGCGTTAGTTTTTTTTTTCTAATTTCAACGAACCTTACTGTTAGCAAACCATCTGGCTAAAGCAGAGCCGTTGTTACCTAGCAACATATTTTATCTATTAACGTTTAGCTCCTACCCAAGATGGCCTGGTAGATTTGTACCATTAAATATGTCTTCTTTAAACGGCGTGTTATGATGTGGCGTTTGAACGTTCATATTTTAGCTACATGAAGATGAAAATGTGTCAGCATATAGATTTGAGTAAATATAATGGCAGCCTAGCATTCAAATAAATTACATTTTTATCCTAGCATAACAAACTCCCAATGAACATTTTAGAATGATAGAAAGAATACAGAAAAAATACAATTAGAGAACTAATTAAACTAAATAAATCTTTCCAAATGTGTTGTCAATATTTAAGTTTTAATACAATCCTTTGTATATAATAGCTGGTAGTGTTATGTGGTAATTTTTATGAGAACTGGAGCTGACAAAAAAAAGACAATTTCTAAAGAAAATAAAAAGGGATAATTACCAGATCCTTTTCTGCACTTCCTGAATTTTATCTTTTCTAATTGATTCAGGTATGTCTTAGGTTAAATGATTATATTATTCTTATATTATTTTATTACTATGTCATATTTATTTGTCATTGCAACTGTAGAAATAGGCAGAATTAACACTCTTGAAATACTCAAACTGCGAATAAAATCAACAGTTACAGAATGTAAGAATAGGTTGAATTACAGTATACTGTTTACTGTATTTTCAGTCTACCAGGGAGCGTTATCATAGAGCCTTCCTCCCAGCAGCTGTAAGACTTTATAACCACCACTGTTCCCAACAACCTCAATAAGTTGTCATCTCTGATGTTGCTGCTTTTTTCAAATATACATTACTGTAAAAATGTCCATAGTTGTATATCGGTTACTTATTCTCCAGGTGCATAATATTTATATTGTTAAAACGCTTTACAGTACACTATTTTATTTGTTTATTTTTTAACTCTTCACTTTTATGTAATTTTTATTTCTAAGGTCCACATCTGTGTGACCTTTTTTTTATATATTCTTTTTGCTGTCGTTCACACTAGAATTTCCCAATTGTGGGTCAATAAAGGGATTTTCTATTCCATTCTATCTCTAACCTCCAAATGAGACAGCAAGTGGAAAATAACATTTACCAATAAGCCATGAGTACTTAAATTAAGTTTCTCTGTCAATGGTGCAAATTTGTTTAAAAGCAAGTTTCTTTTTATTAAGCAAAGCTACTCACAATGGATGGAGTACCCAGAAATGTTTCTCAAGAGTGGTGATACTGTACAATATTTTTACTCAGGTAGAAGTTAAAAGTCAACACTGTACTACTGAAGGTACCTGTTCACTGCTGTACTACTCCTAAAAACAAAAACATTCCAAAACCTTATTCAAGTTAATGTAACTGAGTATAGTGTACCGTAGTTACAAACCACGCCTGCTTTTTACACATCTTTGGCTTATGTGAATTGAAATATGGGATTTTTTCGTGACCTCACCTCCCAAGGATTAATCGATAGACAGAGAGATGAAATGACATTTAAACAGGAGTTTGAGATTAAATTTCATCATTTATTTATCAATGGATATATCCACAGAGAGACTACACAGAAAACCCACCTCTGTCCCCTAGCCTTCAGAAGCAGTTGGCTACCTCAGCTAATTTAAAGATGCACGTCACCTACTGTCTTCACCACACACAAAGCTAACAAAGTTGGAATCTCCTTAACTATTGCAAGTATCCTGGCACCACAAGGGAGCTTGTTAATTTCCGCTTCCGCAGCTCAAGCTGACAGTGGCTTTTGATCTGTGTGTCCAATTATTTCCAAGGCCAAATCTTTCCATTAAACTTGTATCATTCAAGTTCTCACAGGATTCACCTTAGGCTTTTTATTTTTTATTTTCTGGATTTTAGAGCAGTAAGGCTGAGAAAAAAGAAGTCAGCGATAACGTCAAAGTTGTGGTGAGATGTCGTCCCCTCAACCCAAAGGAGAAGACGATGGCCTACAAGCAGTCTGTCATGGTCGACGAGATCCGTGGGACCATAACGGTGAACAAACTGGAGAACCCCCACGAACCTCCAAAGACCTTCACCTTTGACACAGTGTTTGGGCCGGACAGCAAGCAGCTGGATGTCTACAATCTCACAGCCCGCCCCATTGTTGACTCTGTGTTAGAGGGATATAATGGTAAAGTTGTTGACATGATACTAGCTATTGTTTAAACCAGCTCTGTCAAAGCATCTTAATGTGGTTTTAAAATGAGCCTATACATTTATCCGAAAATTAAAACTTAACTGTTTTTGTTTTCATAATCTCTATAACTTGGAATTATGTTTTTTTTTTTTTTTTCTTTGATTCCCCATTCTAGGCACAATTTTTGCATATGGACAAACTGGCACAGGAAAAACATTCACCATGGAGGGTTATAGGGCAGTACCAGAGCTCCGAGGGATTATCCCAAATTCGTTTGCTCATATTTTTGGACATATTGCCAAGGCAGAGGGCGACTCCAGGTAGGTAATCAAGCTGAAGGCAACCTTTAATGCTACATTCACACCGCATGTGCTTTTGCAGCAAATAAGCGCCTGCTGCTTTATTTTTTTAAGCTTGTACATATTAAAGGCCTACGCGTTTCAGGAGCATCCTTGACGCTGTTCATTAAAGTGTGTCTAGATGCATCTGATGCTGCTGCTCCTGTGTTCAATGGCATAGATTAGTTTTGCTATATATGCTGTGACAAGTGGGTAAAAAGTAGTTTTAATATATTTTTAAGCAAAAAAGTCCACCTGAAAACATCGTCTGTGTCATGATCCTCCCTTCAAATATTATTTGAAGCCGCGTTGAGTTTGAATTCAAGTTGTTTTGGTCCACTCTATAAAGCCTCGAATTCTGACATTTTGAATTGAAAAGCTTCCTGGATGGTGAAGCGAAGTGTCTTCAAACTTGGAAACCAAGTCTAGTGGATTTTGTTTTTAACTTTCTTGGAATTACTATGACCTGGATGACTGAGAATCTTCACTAGCATACAATCCCTATCAATATTTCACACTCCTTTCCACAACCACATTTGCCAACAGTAGCTGTAATGGCAGCAGCTGTGCGCTGTGGTTAAGGTGTTTTCAGAGAGAGTGCTTTTTTTTTTCTCCCTTTTTGAAAAGCAAATATCTAAACTCTCTCACATAACACTGTCCATGCTGTAGAGTGATTGGATTTATCACTTAGAGAAGATCGTATGATTGGCGGTGGTTATCTGTTACAGCTGCTAAGTAGCTACATGACAGGAGGATTTAATTAGAAGAAAGCAAAAGGTGAAAAAGCAGCATTTAGGCTCTTTTTTACTATTTCATAGATTCAATAGAGTTGAAACTATCAGATTAATTGTGAATAATTGATAAAAAAAAAACAAATTAAGTAAACAGACTCTGAAACATAACAATTCTCACTCTGAGCAGCAATTAAGCCATATCTTTACAATGGTTATATACAACTTTCACTTAAATAAGTAGATTGAATATGCTTGAACTCCTAAAGTGGCATTATTTAAGTTTCACCTGCTTCAAATTCTGTAAAAAAAAAAAACTTTTTTCCATCAAAAAATTAATTAGTTCAAGGGAAAACATAGTAAACAGATTACTTAATTTGAAATAATTATAATCGGAGGCCTACATTTGAAACATCCTTACTTATAAACAGCCTCTCTGACCTGGACTATATACAGGGAGAGGAAAAGATGGCCATCAGCTTTACTTAATTAGTTTTTGTTTTTTAAATATATTTTCTGGGGAAAGTTTCCAAGTTCATTATAGACTTCTTCTCTTTTTTGTGCATTGCTTTCATTTTTTAAATTTTGGATAAAACAGTTTAAATGAAAGGTTTGATTTATTTGACTCTTATATATTTCCTACTATGTTTAAATTCAGTTTCTCTACCAATGTTAGCTGTGTTTTTAAAAGTCAGTGGTTAGGTTTTATATTGCCTCCTTACAGTGCATCAAATCAAACTGTTTCACACCAGTAGTGAAGCATTACATTGATTTATCACAGTAATATTTATGTTTTGGCCTTATTCTAAGCAAAAGAATAAAAGCCACACAAACAAAATTCACATCACATTTTGAAAGTAGATGAACCCTTCACCTTTGTCTTGTTTTAGCAGACATCTTTTTCTCACATATTTGGTTGGTCTGTTGCATCAAGAATTTTTATTGTCATTATGAAACTAAAATATTGTGGTTTGCGGCAAACTGCAAATAAAACCTCTTACGGCTTCTTTCGTCAGGGCTTTCTTCTTACCGCTCTTCAGTAAGGCGAGTCCACAGTTAGTTTTTATTGGTGGGTATCTCTGCAGCTCCTCCAGAGGCACCACTGACCTCTTGACCGCTTTCTAATTAGTGCTTTCAGTTCTAAACTTTTTAGCTTAAATGAGAAGCTATGTCTTTGTTAGTTTGAACCAGTGCCACAGTCTTTAGATTGTTTGATAATGGATTAAACAGGGCACTGTAAGATGGTGTTTATGAACTTATTGACAGTTATTTACCAGTCAGCTGATATCTGAGGGGGATCACTTGCAGTGAGTAAGGGGGCCATATCCATTCGTCTGGATTTTTTTGGATAGAATGAATAAGTTCCTAAATAAATTTTTTGCACTTATTCATTTTACAAAAAGTTTTATTTCTTCATATTTAGTGGTTATTTAAAATCAGGTTTTATTTGATAAAATTCCTTCAAAGTCCGTTGGAGTCTGTTTCACTTTACAAACTTTACAAACCACGAAAAACTTTGAAGGGTATTAACGCTTTTGCAAGATACTAAAGAAAATCTACTTCAGACAATATGAGAAATAATTATCTTAGCGAAAAGTGAAAACTATTTTAAAAAATATGTATTCCTTGGGAATAACAGTGTTCAGCGTTCCTTTAGAATAATTAATAATTAATTTAAAATAATTAATAATTAATTAACAAAACTCAATAAAAATGTACTATTTACTCAAAGTATGATAGACATACTGAGCTGGCCTGGTGGGTTCCCCCAGAGCAGCTGGAGGAGATGTGGGTGGCTCAGGAAGTATGAGCATCTCTGCTTAGACTGCTTCCTCGGCGACCTGGCCCCAGATACAGCTGAAGATGGATGAATGGATGAATGAATGAATGAATGAATGAATGAATGATAGAGAATCATCAGATTAGGAACAAATCACAAAGATAGTGTTTGCAGAGTTGAACGTAGAAGCTGCGAGGGAAACACTGTTACGCACACAACTACACAGGATGCCCTGGCCTACTGAACTTGGATTTTTTTTTATGACATATGTAGGCATTTCACATCCTTATTGTGGTTCAACACCCTCACTTCATTTTGAAGCTTATAACCGCATGTTTTTCTATATTTGACATCTGTAATAGTTTCTGAGAGATGACACTTAAATACTGGCACGTCCCACTACCATGGAATTGCATCTATTCTGTTGTAATCACATTTAAAGATATAAGCAAAATGTCTAGCTTTTATTTCCGTGTAATTTTATGCTCTAATATTTATCTAGGATGTTCATTGTACTTAAGCATATAACATTGTTTTCTTTTGTCCTTGGAAGAGGTAAAGATCCCCACACACATGATTCAACCTCTAGAATTTAAACAGACTTTCATCGACATTGGTAGATAAGCTGATACCCCCCCATATAGATTACTGCTCAATTCATATATCTCTCTTTTTTCTTTTTCAGATTGTATAAGCAAAACAAAAACCTATAATTACACACATTTTGCACATTGCTTTTTTAAGCATCATTCTGCTTCTTTCTTTTTTTTTCTTTTTCTTTTTTTTACTCTATTTCTATGTTTCCCTCTCATAGATTTTTAGTTCGTGTTTCGTACCTCGAGATTTACAACGAGGAAGTGCGGGACTTGCTGGGAAAGGACCAGCTGCAGAGACTTGAGGTAACAGGATATAGAAATCGATCCACTTGTAATAATTATTAACATTAAGTTGTTATTAAATGTTATATTTGGCTTTTTTATGGCAAATTTGGGTTTGCAGCTTTTTATGATAAAGATCTTTTTATTTTTTTCTTCCTGTTTTTTGCGGGGGGCGTTTAGGTCAAAGAGAGACCAGATGTTGGCGTGTACATCAAAGACCTCACTGGTTATGTGGTAAACAATGCGGATGATATGGACCGGATTATGACATTGGGTCACAAAAACCGTAAGCAGAACTATTGAACTGATATGAAATAATCACAGTAACATTATCAATCTATTCTGGAAATAAAACCCACACAGGTGACCATAAAAACCCTACAGCTACAGAAAAGACTGCTGCACTCAGGCTGAATACTTTTATTCTCATAACTGACACAGTTCCATCGGCTGTGACGATATACAAAGACGGCCAGTGAGCTGCTCGGCATAAAATGCTGCTTTGGCATCTGCACCAAGCATAAGCAGACCCATGTTTAGAGTTTAGGTTCAAGGACTCAAAAAAGTTCAAAACTATCTCTTTAGAAACATCCATAATTCTGAATATTATATATATTTTATATATACATATATAGCAGCTTCCACTATTTCATTAGCAGCTCAGAGCTGCAACCGCTTGAGTATTAGTGTTGTTTTCTACTAGATGCAGTGAAGACAGAACTATCTACGAAGCCCTCTTTGCACATGCATTAATTCGATAATTGTGCACCTTTTCAGTTTGAAATATCCCTGTTTAAATGAGCACCTGAGAGGCTGCGATAAAAGATTAGGACTTTTTAATATGGCAATCAGTAAGGTTTTAATGGTCATTTCTATTTAAAATAGCATGACTTACAAAAATAAGTTTTATCAAGGTAATCCTTAAAACCAGTAGATGCCTCATCTTTGATGACGATTGATGAGGGGTCAGAGTAATTATGACACGACCTACCTACTCTTGGTATGTTTGACTCAGAAGATACTTTATAAAAGATATTCACTGCAGCTTAATTCTGTTAGAAGCGCATTATGCCATCTCCAAAGTTAGACCGAGGGTATAATACAAAATGTGACACAGACCTTTGTGACTAATGGTTTATTTAAAAGCAAATATGTTAACCATATACACATATATATAACATTTTAACCTATATTTTACCATTATAGCAGTCACACTAAGATCCTTTTTATCTATATTCGGATGAGAAAATGTAACCAAAATGAAGTAAGCGTGGAGCCCCAATAAGGTGGTTAATGTACTTTCTCACTCACTGCAGGGAGACTCATTCAAACATATTTTTGGCATTCGAAACAATTTATTCATACTATTGGATCATAATAACCAACAAATACTGAATTCCAAACAGTCATATGCAGTGTTAGTAATACAAGCTGATAATGTCATGGTGAAATGCTTGTGATTGATTTCACAGGCCTGTTGTGTTAGAATTGTTAGGATGAGACTGAATTACTAAAAAGTTATACAGTCTGTTCTTCTGGAGGGCTATAGATGAAGAAACATTCAAACATTCAAATCAAAAAATGAAACAAAATGTTTTGTGCTACAGGAAGGAGACTGAGCTGAAAGATTCAGGCGAGGCTTTTAAATACATGAAAACTGTCTCTGTTGTCAAGCATGGTGGCGATAGCACCTTGCTTGACTATTGTTAACAGTTTGTTGCACATAATTACTACCACACGCTTCTTTAACTTTAACAGAAGTCAGGAGAAACACACAAAATAAGATGTTGAAACAGACCAGTGATTGAGACCTAAACCATATTCAAAATTTATGGGGGGAAAATAACTTTTCAATAGCAGAACATATTTTGTACATTATCTCAGTATGGGAAAAATAAACAAATTCACACATTCATGCCAGCTACTATAAAATTTAAACAGATAATTAACAGGAAAAATAGATTAGGCAAAGTTTTTATTTCCACATTCATTCAGACACTTCACATTACCGTATTCCTTTGATTATTACAAACCATAAATTCAAACCAAAATTCGGTTTTGAATTCATTGAATGTCTTTCGTTTAGGGTCTGTCGGCGCTACAAACATGAACGAGCACAGCTCCCGCTCTCATGCCATCTTCACCATCACCATCGAGTGCAGTGAGAAGGGGGTCGACGGTAACCAGCATGTGCGCATGGGAAAGCTTCATCTTGTAGATCTGGCAGTAAGTAAAAGTCAAACAAAGTTACTTCCCTTAGAAATCAGTAAAGCTTGTATATAAGCCTCTCTACACATCCCCCATTTAATCTTGACTGTCTGAACACAGGGTTCAGAAAGACAGGGCAAAACTGGGGCCACGGGTCAGCGTCTGAAGGAAGCAACAAAGATCAATCTCTCTCTCTCTACTCTGGGGAACGTCATCTCTGCCCTGGTGGACGGAAAGAGCACACACGTTCCCTACAGAAACTCCAAACTGACCCGTTTGCTGCAGGATTCACTGGGAGGAAACTCCAAAACCATGATGGTACGGGTAGAGTGGAAACAGAATAATAGACCCCTTTTCCCATTTTCATGTCTCCCACGCATTATCTTCAGAGCTTTCTCATGCTATACAGGTATATATCCCTTTAAAATGGAGTATATACCCTGATGAGGCTCCTTTTATTAAAAGTACCTTGAAATATAATTTTCTGTATTGTTTTTTTTTTCTTTCTTTTCACGTATCTGATGTAATATTAAAATACTGTGTGTGTAGTTCACTGTGTGAATACATTTATTAAAATGTACAGAATTTTTATATAGATTTATTTAGTAATTTTCAGATTTATTGAGATGCTCATGTTATAAAACGCACATAGAAAAATAGACACAAATAAGACCTTACTGTGCAGTGTGCTTTTGTGTCAACAACCCGATCCAATCCAGCAGACATTTATTTGCACACTTAGCTTTAAGCCTGTTGTTTTTTAAACTTTAAGGTTTTAACTCTCTATGAATATTCCTAACAGTGTGCAAACATAGGCCCTGCAGACTACAACTATGACGAGACCATCAGCACCCTGCGCTACGCTAACAGGGCTAAAAACATCAAAAACAAAGCTAGAATCAACGAGGACCCCAAGGATGCCCTTCTACGGCAGTTTCAGAAAGAGATCGAGGAGCTCAAGAAGAAACTGGAGGAGGGTGAGAAACCAACATGAAAGAATTAACCCTGAAGCTTAAGTTGAAGATGTTTTTGGTTTTTTTGTTGAGCAGAGAATAAATGTGTTGATAAAACGGTTTGTGCAACACCAGGTGAAGAAATCTCTGGCTCAGAAGGCAGTGGATCAGAGGAGATGGATGAAGGTGATGATGAAGCAGGAGAGGCAGGAGAAGGCCGACGGAGACGAAGGGGTAAGATTTAGTCATCAACATGCAGAGTGTGTAAAGTTAGGCTTAAAGCAGTCCTGTGTGACTAAAAAAAATTGTGTTTATGTAGTTTAATGTGTGTTCATTGGATAGGAGTAGATAACCATCTACAGAATCTACTTACAGCAACATGACCACTAAAGGTTGTTTATTATTAAAATGAGTCATTGTTGAGCTACTCTGATTATAATCGCATTAATTTGCTTCGAGGTTTGATGCATAGTATGACTTTAAAGCTGCTTTATCCTTGTAGTGTGTGCATTTAGGAGTTCCCCTGGTGCTCTCAACATTTACTCTTAGCTGTGAGTGGAAGGTGTGAAAAATAAGAAAGAAGTGTTCTGTCATCATCTCAGAAATGTGTTTATTTCTCTGTAAGATTTCATCACAATTTTAAGTATTCACTTGCTGTGACTTATTAACCAACTCAGCCTGTACTCGTTTGATCTAACACATCAGCGTTTCTAATGTCTCAACCTACAGCTTCTTCATTCTCTCATTTTCTTAAACCTGGGAGCACGTTTTTTTACTGAAGTTTCACTTCTATTTATCGGTTCTGTCTGCCACCTTTGGTGCTTCCTTCTGCTTCTTTTTCAGACAGTTGTGATATCAGCAGAAGTAATAGTTCAGAATTTACCCATACTTCCTCAGTGCCTCCAGCTACTGACGACAATCCTGGGGATAGTGAGTTGGAGCGGCCCTATGCTCACCAACCAGCCTGTCCACGAGTTATAGCCCTTTTCACACATGAATACACACAAATTAAGTTTTTGATTTGTTAAATCTAATGCGACATTTGTGCTGTGACACACCGTAGTTTGTTCAAAATATAGTGATTTGATAATTTTTTGTGTCTTTTTTCATTTATAACTCATTAGGTTGTATCCCCAGGTAGAAAAAAACAAAATGTAGCTAATAATTAAAGAGCGTATGTAAGTTCTGAGGCAAAAGAATGATCAGACAGCTGGTTGTAGCGTCTTTCATAACAGTTGCATACACATCTTTTGGGGTCTAATCTCCATCTAAGCATCCTGTGTCACTGTTGTCTTTGCGGCGCTGGAAAGCCACTAACCGACCGATTAAATTTTGATTGACATATTATGTAAGCCTATAAGATAAACTTTTCAATAACGTATTGAAAGTGTAGGGGAGGCTTGAAAAGATATTGCTTATTTATGTGCATATGAGTGAGAGGAAAAATAACTGGATACGCACAGAAGAAGCAAAATCAAAATCCTGAAAGCTGAGCTTTTGAAATTCAAAGTAGGTTATTTTTAAATTCAAATAACCCACTTTGGCACTTCTTGGTTCTAATTTGGATCAGTTGTGCCAAAATGGTCCTTTTCCGTTCAAAATGACTCGCAGTTTCACAAAGCTTAGGACTAGAGATATGACATTTTACACAGCGGTTTTCCATAAAATGAACAAGTCTAGTGAGAGAGAAGTCAACTATGACTCATACCCAAATTATAAAACTTTAAATGTTACATTTTTTTATGCAAGATAAAAAAAAAGATAATTTTGGACAAGTTTGAAGTTACATAGCCCAAGTTCTGTGAAACTTACAGAGTTTGTACGTATATGTCCAGAAACTAGAAGACAGTAACTATCAAATAAGATACATCACAGGCATAAGGGATTTCTAAGATTATTTTGCAGTTCCATGGCATTTGGTATGCAATTCGTTTGTACACAAGCTATCCAAAGGAATAGAATAACCTAAATGCTTTTGGGCGAGGTCCATGTACTGTAGGTGGTTTTCTTTAGGGGGTTTCCTGATGCCTTCATGTCTGCAAGCTGAGTCAGAGACAATATTTGTTTTCTAACTTTTTGCATTGATATTATTAGAGAATGTATTAAACTGCGTGAGTAATGGTAAATTAACGTTTATGTATGCCTGACTTAGACATTTTAAACTGAGTAATGAATGAGTGAGTAAATTTTAGTCAGATTTAGTCACAGTGAAATTTTCCTAGATATGTTTTAGACCAGGAGATGCGATAAGCTTCTGGCGCAGACTCAGATAAGGGTATTCTTACCTAAAAGGAATTTGTCTTTATATATATCTATTAAAAAACCCTGTTGAAAGCCCATCCTGCCTGGGAATATGATCCATAGAAACTCAGAACTGCATTGTAAACTATTTTAGCAACCTACTTTTTTCTCCTTTCTTCCCTTTATTTCTTTTTTTGCATCGACAGTTTAACAAGAAGTAATTTGGTCAACATTGAGATCATGATTGTTAGAGCAATTGTTCCTTCTATTTGGAAAAAGTACTATTGCAAGTCAACAGTAATAAAAAAACAAACTTAGATTTCTCAATGTGATAATTTTTGAAGCAAATCGGTTTAAGCTCATTCTGTTTTAATCTAAATGTTTTAGTTTAAAACTCATTCATAATATAAACTCATTGAACTTCTTCATTTTTGAGGTGCAGTAGAGCCAGGCCAGATGGAGCTGTTGGAAAAGGGGCATAGTGCAAGGGTCTGCACTTTTTACTTTAGTTTCAGGCAATATCCTAAAATTGACTGCATCGGCTGTCATTTCTAAATATTAAAAAAGTTTGGTTGTAACTCTCGTCACGACAGACACGGATTGGTTTCTCTTTAACTGGCATTTATTTTGTCTTTTCTCTTATGTTGTTCAACATGAAGCTCAATTTAGGTTCTTTATGACGTTCATACTTTTATGCCATGAGAACTGTACAGACACAAATATATATATATATATATATATATATATATATATATATATATGTATATATATATATGTATATATATATATATGTATATCTCAGCTCAAACAGCTGTGCTGCATAAGAATAAACAGATTTATCATTAAAACAAATAATAGTACCTCATTAGCCGCATGTCATGAAGAGAGGTTCTTTACACGCTTGAATCAGGCTTTGTAATCTAGCTTCATAGTGTAGCATCTATTAAATTTAACGTAGTGGTACACAAGTATGAACATTGGTTCCTGGCTAAACATAACAGTGCAGAAAAGAGCAAACTTATAAAATAAATAATAAAATTAACCCGTATTTTATCTTATAACACGTCCATGAATTTACTCATTTAAAGTTTTTACCTAAACAACAACATAAATTATGACTGATTGATTTTAACAAGAATTCAAAAGCACTTACATTAGTTGTATTGTTTTTTGTTGAAATTATTTTGGGTTGATCTGTTGGTTGAAAAAAAAAAATACTGGAAAAAAATGGTTGTCAGTCGCCCCGAACACAAATTAAACGCAGGCAAATGCTAAAATAATTATCTTTTACTAAAAGTGAATTACAAAAAAAAAAAAAGAGGGGGAAACTAAAACATGTTTTGAACATATTAGCAATTCTGAGGATCCTGTTTGTCAGTGAACATTTTTTTTTTTCTTTTATGACCATGTGTAAAAAGGGCTTTGTCTCTTCCTCCTGTCCTTATCACTCTCGTATTCTCACAGCACATCTCTCCTATATTTCCTCCATTTGAGGCCAGACTAAGTGTCTCCCAGGTGCCTGGTCGGATGCACTTTGCAGATTTCTGCCTGCTGTTGTCTGCTCAGTCATAGTAAATGAATACTTCACTCAATGCATTGCTGAGGACTTTGTTTCACATGGTAGCTAATTAATGACTCTTGAAGTCACCAAGGCCTGAGCATGAACATTTTCTAACCAGATTATCAGCCATCATGTTCTGCATGCATTTTTGTGTGAGTTGTTTCCCCCCTAACCACAAAAGACGCACTTCGCCCACGTCATGTTTCATTTTGTGAAAATGCATCTTCTTTCTGTCTCGTCTCTATTGACTGGCATCTAGTTTGTTTTGAAGTTGACCCTTATTTGGTGTCTGTTCTGTAGAAGCAAATTTCTGAATCACTTTGTAATGTGTTGTTTTTTTTTTTCCCTCTCTCTCTTTCTGTCATTGTTTTGCAAATGATGCCTGTTTGATTTCTTGCTTTACACCTCTTTCTAGAGGTTGGTGGTTAAAACGGAAACGCATTCTAAGTTATGCAGCAAAACTGTCCAGTCATGGTAGAAATTAAGGTTGTTGCCCTCCCACAGTAGTTAAGAATTACTGTGGAAAATGCGAGGGCTGTTTTGTTTCTGATTTCCAAGAATATTTTTTTATTTCCATCTTCATGACAACCACTCCTTCTGTCCACTCACTCACCTAAAGAAAGGCAAAACTTTATCCTCTTCTCTACTGAAACATGTTAATATGAAAAATGGACATTGGTTCTCAATTTCCAAAATTATTATCATGGTTTATGTCCCAACAATATGTATTTATGATCTTTGATAGCCTTTAAATAAATTTAGTGCAACAAATCACCATCAGAAATACTTTCATCAGTAAAAAGTTCCCCTCTGGGTAATTTCATTTTTATAACTACAGTTGCTCTATGAAAGCCTCAGTTTTGTTAGAGAACTACAGTGAATTTTTATTTAATTTCGCTTTGGAATTTTTAAAGTATTTTTTAATTTATTTGAATTGGACAAACGGAACAATAATCGACACTGTAAATAGGGTTGAGCATACTGACTGTATTAGCTTAAAGATGAGGATTTACCCACTGAATCCTCAGCTGGCCTCCTCCACAGAGCCTTCCTCTCTTTCCCCCATATTCTTTGTGTTTGGTGAATATGATGGACAGAGATCCTCTGCCTCATACGTTCGACTCCACAGCAAAACTGTCCTTTCTGATTATTTTTAATTAGACACGGACCAGTCAGGATTTTGGGAGCCGAGTGGCCATAATAAAAGCCAGTATCTGCCTATCACAGCATCAAATTCATAAACTCTTCAACTGTTTTCTCGTGTATATTGACATTGGTACTTAGTATCAAATTTAGAGGAAATTGGAAATAATCATGAATTTACAAATTTACCACTGTTTTAGTAAATGAGAGCACAGAGCTTTTTTTAATCCAAATGGAAGATAGAGAAACTAATGTTGACACAGGATGACACAGGAAAACTTTTGAGAGGTTTGTGGATGGCTTTTAAAAAAAAAAAAAAAAACATTTTAATTTCTCCCTAGAAGGACTGTTTCATCACTATACCTCCAGCGTAGACACTGACACTGCAGTCATCATCTGTCCCCACTCCACCTCGCTGTCTGCATGCTGGCTCCTCTGATCCATCCCCTTTGGGAGCAGTGGTCTGCCATGGTGGAACGCCAGGGGAGCAATGGGGGGTTGACTGTCTTGCTCAGAGAGCCAGAGAAGCAGCCTTAGGGAGTGGGTTTCGAACACACAACCTCAGGATTCCAAGCCATATGCCCTAACCACTAGGCAGCCAATTCCCATCTAGCAGTTAGAGGTTAGCCTCCGCTAGCTGTACCCTCTCCCTGCTAATTATGCCTGGCTGTCTGTTTGTCTATATGATAAGTTATGGACAGATTTTAATCACATTTAACAATATCTCAAATTTATGGATAACTTAATTGAACTAATTTGTTTCCAAGCGACACAGTGGATTAATTGTTCATAAACACTTTATAACTCCTGTGGGGGAATCTTCATTGGTAAGAGCCATTTCTCTGGAAACCCAGAGTGGTTGACAGCTGTTGCTAATTCAGAAAGAAAAAGGCACCTATCTATTTGATTTAAGTTTGGTTTTTAAAAAAAATGGTCTTGTTGCAGCTACAACCTGTTCTCTCCTGGTTTTCCCATTTAGTATCAAGCATAGTTAAAGCATCCTTCATTCACAATTACACACAGAGGTTTTAACTGTACCTCACACCGTATTATATAAATACATTAGTGGTCAAGCAGAAAATTCTTATGCGAGGAAACCTAAATATATCCAGACTTCTATTTTCAACTTAAGCTACTTTTGAATCTTTTTAATTTTGTGTGACACGTCAGCTCAGCAGTGCCAGCTAAGTTGACATAACATGAAAGCTTTGTATGAATGGGTAGCTCAGAGATTGCGTAAGGGGCCATACATTTTCACATAAAGTTGGTTTTTATTCATCACAATATTTCTGTGGAAGTTACCAGTCCCCATTTTGGGTTTTATTAATCATACCCCTGATAATTACTACTTTACTAAAATATTCTATTACTAAACATATTAAGTACAAATGTCAAAAAGTGCGAGAAATATTTGTTTTTATGTTCTGGTACTTTCAGTTTTTACTACAAACTACACTTTATTTTTACTTTCAGCTGCTTTAAATGGCAGCAGGTAATCCCCGACTGCTGCTCCAAATAACAATAACCTATTTAAGAGTTTCATCATAATCCTGATGAATTTAAGATGATTTTTGAGGTGAAATTTCTTGCTTAAAAACATGGCAAAACAATTATAAACTTTTAGAATCAGAATCAGAAATACTTTAATAATCCCAGAGGGAAATTACTTTTGTTACACGCTCCAGTTACAGTTTTATATATATATATACACACATCCAACTACACAATATAATAAAGATAAAAAATAAGAATAAAAAGAGATAAAATATGTACACATATAGCTCTTCTGTATATATATATATATATATATATATATATATATATATGTATGTATATCTATATATGTATGTATATCTATATCTTTGTGTCATATGATATCCCATTGATAAAATAAGTTACAATGTGTAAAATGACAAAACATGAAACAGTTCAGAGAAGAAGTCATCTTTCAAAACACTGTTGAACTTCTCTTCAACAAGAGCTTATTGATGTGCACTTGTCATTCCCCTAAAATAAATGACTGAAAGAAATGTCTGTGTTGATATTTCTGTAAAAACTGACAGAAATCACTGGATCATATTTTCTCCTCTCTCATTAGGTAAAAAGAAGGTTTCTCCAGACGAGATGGTGGAGATGCAGGCTAAGATTGAAGAAGAACGAAAGGCTCTGGAAGCCAAGCTGGACATGGAGGAGGAGGAGAGGAACAAGGCAAGAGCAGAGCTGGAGAAGAGGGAGAAAGACCTTCTCAAAGCCCAGTGAGTCCCGAAAATACTGTTAAAAATCATACTATATATTGTTGTTGAAATCAAATGTAGACAAGATCCTAAGTGACATATTTTGAACATTTTTAGACAGGAGCATCACCTCCTACTAGAGAAATTATCAGCATTAGAGAAGAAGGTGATTGTAGGTGGAGTGGATCTTCTGGCCAAAGCTGAGGAGCAGGAGAAGCTCTTGGAGGAATCAAACAATGAGCTGGAGGAACGGCGCAAAAGAGCAGAGCAGCTGCGAAAGGAGCTGGAAGAGAAAGAGGTATAAAAAGAACATTATCACTAATAATCCTCGATGGGTAGATAACTACGACACCAATGATTGTTTTTGTCTGATAAAACGGACAGAAGAATTATGATGGCACACAGCCTCTAACCTGATGAATCTGATGAGAGTCTGGCCAGAGACTTGAGGCCGTTTCTCAATATGTGTACTTGTGCGTTCTCGTGCTTGTGTACTCGTGAAACGTCATCAGCCTCAGCCCTAGTGCTGTTCCGATTCACAAGAACAGCAGACCAAGAATGCACAAAGTCCCCGGAGGTAATTTAAAAAACCTTTCCTGAAGTTGAGACGACCGCGGTGACCAGCGTAGCTCAGAGGGTAACAGCGGACAGAGCTAACCACAGCCCGTCTGCATCAGCCCTCTCTTGGCATAGCTGTGTGTGAAGAACCGCTGGCTATAATGCCGATATTTTTGTTTTATTTGGCAAAATGTTCATTTGATTTGTGTTTGTCTGACTGTTGATTATTATTCCCCCACTAAATGAAAAAAGGTAGAATTTATTATTATCTAAAGACTATTAATAACAGGAGGTGAAATGCAGCTCCAGAAACAGCTTCTATTCCAATCGACCCATTGCTCCCTTTCTCTCCAAGTCAAGACTTTCCTGGGTTCTTCTCAATAACATACTTGGCGAGGACACAAGTCTGTACTCGCGTTCTAGTGAATTGAGAAACAGACTTAGACTAATACCCAATTTACACTACCCTTGAAAAACCGTGCCGAGACCGGTCCGAGCTCAGTAACTGAGACAACTTATGGTGTGTAAATGGAAAGCAAACTGAACTGAACCGAGCTAGACACAACCGGATCGCGCTAACTGCAGACCAGTTCCAGAGGTGGGCTCGGCTCGGTTTTTCCCTGGCTCGGTTCTCTGATAACAACAGCGCATGAGCAGAACGCGTCATCTCCGTCTGGCTGCACATCACGATTTACAATGCCGGGCGCCGCCATTTTGATTTGCTTGATTTCCTCCTTCTTCGTCTTCTTTTTCTTGCGTTTTATGGCGGTTGGCAAACAACTTTTGGTGCATTACCGCCACCAACTGCTTGATTTCCTCCTTCTTCGTCTTCTTCTTGTGTTTTATGGCGGTTGGCAAACAACTTTTGGTGCATTACCGCCACCAACTGCTTGATTTCCTCCTTCAATGCTGGCAGTGATCGTCACTAGGAGGCGAGGAGTCGAGGAACCGAGATAGCGTGATGTGTAAACGGTCGTCAGAACCAAGCTCGGCCTGGTTAACTGATCCAAGCTTGGACCGGTTTCTGCATGGGTTGGTTTTTCAAGGGTAGTGTAAATAGAGTATAAGAGGCATCCTGCTGTTAATTCTTGAAGCTACGGTTTAAAATAAAACCAATCGATTTTGTTTATTGTGGGGAGCAGTTTACCTAAAAGATCAAATCCATGCAGCCTTTACCTGAAGCCTTCTGTCTGCCACTAACTAAAAGCTGAGCAGGATATGATACCACAATGCTTCCTGCAACCTTGAAAAGCTGCATAATTGTGGTTGTAAATAAGGTTTCCTCAGACTCAGATTCTCACCTCCTTAATTTACTCTGTAATCTGTGATGGTTGTAACCTGTCAGTTCATTGTGACATAGGCCTTATCTGATTTTCTTTATACAAATGAATCTTATTCCATACGTACACACTATGATATATACTGTATTAGACAATATGATTCTGTATAACTAATGCTCTTCTCCCTTCATAAACAGCAAGAACGTTTAGATATTGAGGAGAAATACACGAGTCTGCAGGAGGAGGCTCAAGGAAAGACCAAAAAGCTCAAAAAAGTCTGGACTATGCTCATGGCTGCCAAATCAGAGGCAAGTTTCACAAATGAAAAACATCTGGAGTAAATGTATGTTGCCTTTGAAATTCTCTGCCATCCATTTAAAGTATGGCTGCACACCTTGAACGGTGAGCTTTAGGTCACACACTCTCCCATCCCTCGCTACTTTATACTTTCTCTACAGGTCAGTCAGTATGGGCTTTTCTATGGCCTGTTTTTAAAATTGGAGTTATAAATTTGATTTAACTTCTCTTTATTATTTTGTTTCTGTAAATTGATCAAGGTTTTTTTAACAACAGATTAGAATAACTCAAACGTTTCTATACAACATCTTTGTACTTGTAGACACAAATGTGCTTGTTGGAGCGGCAGCTTTAGTGATCTGTTCTGGGAGAAGCTTCAGGTGATTCTCCTTTATCATGGTTGCTGATCTCCCTTACTCTGTTTACCACTGACGTAGAGACGTGCAGACGATTGCAGACATCCTTAGATCTGAGACGCCCTGCTGCTTGGAAGGCTTTGCTTTAAAAGCTACAACTGATTTAAGGCTCATTATAAATCCAGCAGCAGGCCGCTGACTCTACTTCTATTAAATAGTGTGAGATTAAAAAGAATCAGTGACATTCTCCACTGTTCTCTAATTTAGTCACTTTGGAGCTTTGAACAGGATGTAGTTATTGACTGCCTCTTTACAGCACCATTGATGGGGACTTTTAACATGGAAATTTCCGGATAGAAATCCAACAAGCCAGTTACCACATCAATAAAAGATGCTGCAGTTATTCCTTCCTTCTCACACTACATCAAAGTATTCAGCAAACAGAATAATTTAGTTTATCTTTTTTTCAACTCATCTACGAAGTAAAATACTGATTTCAACATTCCTGTGCATTTAAATATTGTTTCTAATGTTTTACTAGTAAAGCACCTTATTTTTAACATGACAATAATATAGTTTAAAATAGGTTTTTACTATTTATGCTGTATGCACCATTAGCTCTTCTGTACATGAAGCTGATAAAGGGGAACTGCAGAAGATCCAAAAGTGAAATATCTTCTTGTTTTTGTACTTGTCATTATTCAGAATAGGTTTATTTTATTTACTAAATTGTAACAATGTTTCTTTAAAAAGCAGGTTTTGCAAATATCAACAGTCTAGAAAATAAAATTAAGTTCTTCTTGTGAGAGATGATCTTATATTCTGATTCCCGGTTTTATTTATCAGATGGCAGATTTGCAACAAGAGCACAACAGAGAGATTGAGGGCCTCCTGGAAAACATCCGCCAGCTGAGTCGAGAACTACGGCTCCAGATGCTCATCATAGATAACTTTATTCCCCAGGATTACCAGGTCTGGGCCTTTTTGAGGTGTTATTTTGTTTCAAATATTTTAAAAGTGCTTTTAATCTTGTCCTTGCAAACCTGCAAATGTTTGCCACAATTTTTATTAACTTAAAAAGCCAAACAGAAAAAAGGGTAATCTAACTGTTTATCTGTCTTTATGAATATAAAGATGAGGCTGTTCTAAATGTAACAAGATTAAACAAGACAAAGAATGATGTGTTATAAATACTACTCTAAAAGAAAGAAAATGTTTTTTTTTCCTGCTGATGTCTTACCCTATTAATCTTAACATATTGAGGTCTTTTCTGTATAATTCATAATGTTTTAGATATTAATATCCTGTACACATTTAAATACAATGTAGAACATGTTTGTTTGATCCCAGCTTATGACTGGGGTCAAATTAGACTGATATAATGCAAGCAGGAGCCTATTGGAATAACACTGCAGGCTGCTTCTAGGAGGCTCCTCCTTAATGCACACTGGGTTGAAGCCAAAGTGGCTTGTATGTGTGTTAAAAAATATATTAGAAACTAATATCTTCCAGTGCAGGGGTTTTCAAAATGACTTGATACAGATATGAGTACAGAAAATGTAGATCTTTACTGACACATCTTTTCTGCTTATGGTCTAATTTTCTGCTTCTGGTCTAATAAATTACACCAGAAGCATTCAGTCCCTTTCTCTTTAAACTAGACTTTGATCAATAAAATCTGAGTGACACATATGCTCTTCCTGTTAATGGAAACACACAAACCTAGATGATTATTATTAACCCGAAAAATTTGCATTAAATCTTTTTTTTTTTTTTTTCAGGTAAACTTGTGAAATTATTCACAGATTATTTTCCACAAACTGATTTGCGTTTTTCATTCAAATTTTGACCCCCTCCCCTTAGCCATGGCCCACAGGGCTAAAAGTTTGGATACCCCTGTACAGGAGTATGCTTTGCAGACTCTGGTATTTTAAAGTTCCTTGCTCCTGCTTTCTTTTTGTAGGAAATGATAGAAAATTACGTCCACTGGAATGAAGACATTGGAGAATGGCAGCTGGTGAGTTTAGCTTCCATCATTGTGCCTTCAGACTCAAATAATATTACGGAGGTAAAGACTTAATCAAATGTTTTCCTTATTAATGTACCTTTTTAGAAATGTGTAGCTTACACTGGAAACAATATGAGAAAACAAACCCCTGCTCCAGACAAGAAAGAAAAAGATGTAAGTTTCAAATGTTTTCTTCCTGTGGCTGATCTTTGGGATGTTAATTGGAGGAAAAACATCCAATAGTGACCATTTTCTTTTTTTCCTTCACCTTGTTTAGCCTTTTGAGGTGGATCTGTCCCACATGTATTTAGCATATACAGAGGAGAGCATGCGGCAATCACTGATGAAACTAGAGAGGCCCAAAACCTCAAAGAGCAGTAAGAGTGGCAGACCGAAAACCGGCCGAAGGTAAACTCCTCCCAGCAGATGCCACACTTCATGTGCTGCTACTGTTAGCATCCTATTAGCCTACAGTTCTGCATCTGCCTTCTTTTTTATTACTATTGTCTCTCTTTGTTTAAAAATGCATTTTATTTATACTTTGTGATTTTGTTAAAAAATAGAAACAAACTGTAACTTTGTATGGTTAAAAAAGTTAAAACAAATCAAGTTTATTTTTCTGAATACCGGATGAGTCCCGTCCCTTTTTCTTTTCTTTTTTTTTTTTTTTATACCGCTTATCAAATCAGAAAAAGCTATTTCCTGACAAGATGGGAGTTCCGGCTCATCTTTATCGCGTGGGAGCATCTTGTTAGTTTGTATG